GAGTGTCAAGGGTTCTGGCCACAGTCTGTGGTCATGCTCATTTTATTAATAATTTAAAAACTGAACATATTTTTATATATACTTCTGTAGATATGATATATAAAAATAAAAAAATCTATCTGGTGACCTGAACTCTAACCTGTGATCAACTGTGGGCTGTAGCCATACCTGCTGCAGCCCCTTCTAGACTGAGTTCTCCCACCCCCTACCTATGCCCTAACCTGGAACCACCTCTGACCAGATGACCTAGATCAAATGGCTTCTTCTAGCAGGTGAGAAGAGGGTAGGAAAAAAAATCAGAGGGATGTTTCCTGGCCTTGGCCTTGCTGCCATATTTTGTGGTAATATAAACCAGGGGCTCTGTCTTTCATTTTCTGTGACTTCCTCTCCCCCAGTGACCCTGGCCACAGGAACTTGGCCCCATATTTCTCTTTGACCTTGTACATCTTGCTAGCAGCATTTCACAAAACTATTTTGTGGCCTGTAGAGTTCTCCAACTTTAAAATCACTTGCACCATAGGTTACTTTCTTTTGGGGAAGTTGCATTATCCACACCCATATTTCTCACTTCTGAGAAATCCTGCCAAGCTGTTTGCAATTGCTCTTGTTCTAGGGGCCCCAGTAGTGAACTTGCTCCCTTGTTAAAAGACCATTTAGGTGCATGGGTACTGTGCTCAGAGCCAAAATCAGGATTTCTTCCCTTTGAGCTTAGCGTGGTCTAGCTCATTAGGCAGCATCATTTTCATTAACAGAAAAACAAACAGAGAAATTAATTTTTTAAAAAATGAAACAAAAATCCAACAGGAAATGCAGGTGATGATTACCCTGGGACTCATTTTGTTCTGCTTGAGCCCTATTCTTTCCCAGTTCTGTCCAAGGCGCTGACTCATACCCTTGATCTTTCCTGACAGTTTTCACACCCAAAGTTCCCTTTGGCCCTTGGTATCCCACCAGCACACTCCTTGCCATGCCTGAGTTTCTCCTCTGACTGTCCATTGTGAATTCTAGATGCCAAAATAGACTTGTGTTACACCAGGAAAAAATTTTGAGTTTATCTTAAAATTATTTTCTGCTTTGAGCTGTTTTGTTTTTTCCATCAAAATGAAAAAGAACGTCCTAGGATATTTCATCAGGAAATTGCTCTACAAAAATCTATCATGTGACCTTTTGCTATGTCTGAGTTTCTAATAGTAGGAAGGAAACAGACTTTAAGTCTGGCCATCTCAAAAAAAAAAAGAGGAAAGAATTCTTGCTGCTCTTTATCATCCTCCCCACCCCCATCCACCTACCCCAATCACTGATGGTTCTCCAATCCCAGGCCCCAAAATGGTCAGTGGGACCCAATCTGTGGCATGCCAACCTATGATACTAACAGGGTGCACTGCTTTGGGGCCCATGACTTCCTGTCTTCCTGATCACACTGTGTCTCTGTCTCTCCTCTATGGCCAGCTACCACATAAAGACTAACCACTGGCTTTCAAGTTCTCATTCTCACCCACCTCACCTGAGAACATTTGACCTTCCTCTGTTTTATATAGAATTCTGAGTAGTGGTTAAGCACCAAGTTCTAGAGTCAAAGTGTCTGAGTTCAAATCCCAGGCCCATCATTTGCTAGCTGTGGGACCTTAACCTCTCTGTGCCTCAATTTTCTCGTCTGTGAAGTGGAGTAAGAATCTACCTATAGGATCATTGTAAAGATCAATAGGATAAGGAAAGCAATTATGATATAGCTCTAGTTCTGTGCCAGCCACTGTTACAAGTGCTTTACTCATCCTAACACATGCAAGGGACACTTAATGGTGCCTGGTACATAGTAAGTGCTCAACAGATGTTAGCTGTTTTTCTATTAGCCTCTAATGGCTTAACAGGTAAAATCTCACCACAAAATTGCAAACTCTTAACGAAAAATAATCTCATATGGGTCTTTTTTTTTCATATGGGTCTTTTAAATCACTAGTCATCTGTGGCATGTCCTGGGTGTTCTGAGCTCATGCTGAGCAATAAATAAACCTCAATAAAAGTGACCTAAATGAAAAGCAGAATTTCTAAATGGCAAGCCAAGTCCTTTGCATCAGAAAGAGACCAGAGCAGATGATGAAGAGCTTGGGCTCCTCAGTCAGTTGTGCATATTTTAAGCCCATCTATGCTCCTCACCAACAGGGCTGCATTGGGTTTCCTCCCTGTAAGTGGAGGTAATAGAGGTATTCCAGGCCAGCTCACTTGCTCAACTGGCTATATAGGCTGATTGGCACCAGGGAAGTTTCCATCCTTAATTGCCCCAGTCCACCCACTAGCAAAGGATGCAAGTGAATCCTAAGCGAAAAGAAGAAAGAAAATCCAATCTTGGTGAAAACTGGGTAATGTAAGCTACAAGTAAACAAAAAATAAATTTGGAGATTGTCCAGCCTAGGCACACCTCCACTGAGGAGCTCAAAGGCTGATTCAGCGTGTTTCTGGGTGTGGGTCTATACATCGACATTTACTAAACATTGACAAATTAGTGTCAGGGTCATTTCTGGCCCTTTCAGAGTTAGAGAAAATAATTTACAAAGGTGGTCCTGAATCACTCTATAATTTCAAATCAAAAGAATTCCTTACTATTACCTTTCTCTGAGGCAGCAGGCAAAGGAATGGTTTGAATAGTCTGCTAAATCTGAGTGGCCCAAGGTTAACACAAGAGTTAAGGCTAACTGTAACAAAGTATTTCTCAGATCATATAATTAGGTCAGTTGGTGGTTTTTGTAGCTAAGACGGTTTGTCTTGAAACTATGAGTACAGGAAAAAGGCTTTTAATAAATACTCAAGTGTTTGCATGTGGCATAGACTGTATGTTCTGACCTCAGATAATTTTGTTTTCATCAATAGATGGAAAGTGAATTTTAATTTTGAGAGGTCTTACAATGGAACCTAGGACTTAGTGTTTGGAGGCCACTCTTCCCATTGTATCTGTTTGGTCCTTAGGACAACTAAAATTTGGACACATTATTCTTGTTAAGCCATAAGTGTCAACATGTAAACTTGTTTTGATTATAGAATTTTTTAAACTGTTAAAAAAAAAAGAATTCCTTACTTATTTTTTGTAAGTCCCATCTGCCACATACAGCAACTGCATCATCAGATAATTACATGAGCAGAAAGCAGACAATGCAAATCCTGTTCATCCAACAGCTCTGTGTTCCTGCACCTACTCCCTGCTCACTGAGGAGGAGATGTCTCATTGCTTTGATTCTGTTCCCATCATTGTCTAATCCCGTCCACTCACAAAACACAAACCCTCTTCACAGGGGAACCCATTTCCTCTTCTTCTTCAGCCACTGTCGGATGGGCCCAAAGAAGCTGGCGGATTGAATGGAGTCACTTCTGTATTCCTCACTTTGACTGGCCTCATCACTGTTCTTCTAGTCTGACACTAGAATCAAGATGAAACTGTGCTCTTAACTCCTTAGGGAAAAGTGAGAACCAGCCTCTCTAACAAAGGAGAGAGCTGCCCACCCCCGCCCCAGCCTAATGCACCCTGAAAATGGTGAAGAAAATGGGCTGAAATACAGAGGTCAGATAGATTATGGCAAAATATAAAGGCATCTGCCTAGCAGAATAAAAAATGCTTTGCTGGGCTATAACACAGTAATTGGCAAAGGGAAAGTATGGATGGTGACTTTGCTCTCCACACAGCATCATGTGTGGAAATTATGGGAGGTGGGGGGTATGCCTTCTGAGGAAGAATATGACCCAGGATGATGTGGAACACTGGAAAATCAGCATACTGGGTCATGACCCCAAAAGAGGCAAGCTGCTCACAGGTTAGGCCCTGCAGTTCTGGGGCAGGTGTGGCTAAAAAGAAACAACCAGTCTGCAGCACCTTGCTTGCCAGGAGTCCCTAGGTACAGGAACCCAGGGCAAGCCTTCACCCCCCCCATCACATACACTATCAGCCTTTCTGCAAGTATGCTGGGGAAGGGGAGTGATGGAAGTTAATCAGTTTATCAGGGCTTGTTGGGAGGAGAGAGAAGAGAGGAAGGTGTATCCTAAGTCCCACAGAATACTTTTCTGGTAGAGCTGTGTTTGAGGTCAGGCTCTGTAGGAATAAATAATGGTGTGGAAGGAAATGGAAGGTTAGCCAGGTGCCTATGAGAAACTCTCAAAGTGGAGCTTTCATGAGCCAGACGCTCATCCTGATGGGGGGTGGGTGATGGGGGGTATTCAGAAGGTCAGCAAAGCTCATTTGAGAGGAGGAAGCATTAAGGAGGAAGGGAGGAAAGGAGAGAAGAGAGGGAGAAACACAGGGAGAGAAGCTAGGAAAAACGGGAAGGAGGAACATTTTTGAGGGCATTTGAATATGCTGCATACATCTGTCTCCTAGTTTCAGCCTAGCTCCTGTGGGGAGAGAAGAGCTTGCCTTATCTTCTTGGCTATCCAAACCCTCCTTGTTCCCCAAAACCTTCCAGTGCCAACATCATCTTTCCAGACTATTTTAATCCCCCCCAGGATCAGCCCTGTTGTTGGACCCTCACCACTAGTGTCACTACCTACTTGCGATCTCAGTTACGTCCTTAGTGATCTCCAAGCCATGCCCCACCTGCAGCTATCTAGTTCATATTCCTAGACAAAAAAGTTGGTGTTTCCCTTCACAGGAGGATATCTGTCAGCCTCTGCAGAGGCTCTGAGCTCTGCTAACTGCTGTGACACTTTCTTCAGGCCACAGCTCCTTGGTGGATTCTTAGGCACAGAGGGTGAAGATCTACACCATGTCCACCATTTCAGGTTGGCCCATGCCAAGACCACAGTGCCTTTCTTGTTCCAGGATGACACATCTGGGACCTGCCAAGGTCCCAGAGGAAGATCTCTGGGACCTTGGCCTGGGTCTTCCCAAGGGGATTTCTGAATCCTTCTCACACGCAGACCACCACATACCTGTACCACTCTGACTGTAGTTCTGGATGGTTCCCAAGGAAAAATTAAAATGTGTACTGGCAAAGGCCCCCAGAGAAGTGGAAACTCACCGGCAAGTGCCCAAGGAGAGGTGTGATACTGTCAGAAACATAGAGGATGTTGCCATCCGTTGTCACAGCAATGATAAAGCCATCTAATGCCTACAGAAAACACAACAGTGAAGACCCTTTAGACATGCTTTTATGGGAGAGGATGCTACTGAAGTATAGAACCCCAGATTATTATTACCACAGGTAATTAGCTAGTTATTAATAAAGAAAGGAAGCAAAGGCAATCAGACACTGTTGAGGGAACATAGCCTGTTTGCATTAAGCTACAGCTTCACACATTCCAGGGGATTTCAGCATTGTCTGAAATACCATATGATCTCACCTTTGACAGGAAGCTAAAGAATAAAACAAACAAGCAAACAGAATAAAAACAAAGATGCTGAAATAGAGAACAAGTGGGCAGCGACCAGAGGGGAGAGGGAAGGGAACTTGAGGGGAAAAAGGGGGAGGGATTTTGAGGAACAAGTATGAAAGACACAGAGTTGAGGACTGGGGGTGGGGGGGGAATGGGAGGGAGGGGGGAGACCGGGCGGGGGGGGAGGGGAAAAAATGTACTTGAAAAGTAACTAAATAAAAAAATAAAAATAAAAAAAAAATATATATATATATATATATTTTTTGGAGATTAAAAAAAAAAAAAAAGGGGATTAACAACCATTCTTTACCCAAATAGGGAAGAAGGATTGGCTTTTCAATCTCCCTGGTCCACTTGTCCAGACTATGGAGGGAAGGAATAAAACAATAAAATGGGAGGTAGGCACATGAGCAATCAAAGCCAAAATAGTGACCACAGAGGCCTATCAGTCTAGCCTGGGAGGGGGATAAATTGGTCAGGGAGGGGACCCATCAAAAGCCTGTGAAAGCTTGGGAAGTTGATTGGTTATTTTGAAAAAGCACCTGGTCCTTTCCAAGCCTGAGATAATATAATCCAGTTTGACAAAGCAGCTCTTGCTTTCTCTCTCTATTCTCCTGTCCCTCTCTTTCTTTCTGCCCTCCTCCCTCTCCCTCTTTCCCTCTCTCTCTCCCTTCCTCCCTCCCTCTCTTTCTTTCTGCCTTTCTCTCTGGGACACACACTCACCCCATTCACTTGCACATTCTCTCCATAGTGACCACGCAGGTCCAGCAGCAGCAAAGACTCCCAAGGCAAGCTCCAGGAGAGAGCCTGTATACAACAGTGCAGCTAGGAACAGTACTAAGCTACTTGCATGAAGACTGAGAACACTTAGCAGCTGTCTGTGGGTTCCAAAGGACAAAGCTTTAATATAAAATAGAAGTTCTGGAAACTGGCTTTTGTTTTGGCTTTGCTAAAGACTGAACTTTTTCCTGGTAGGATGGATGGAGACAGAACACTGGGAACCCAAAGGCAGCCTTCTGTTTCTATCTGAATAAATCTTGCCACATCTCCTTCTCCCTGTGGGTCTCCTGGACTGCTTTTCTTGTGACACCACAAGAACCCTACTTCCACTGACAACATTATGACACTGACTTTGTTTTGTAAGCCATGCAATATTTCTACAAATAACCTCACAGAACTCCTCTGCCTATCACACAAGATAGGTCTTAAAGTGCTTGTGAAAGCACTAAGTCTCTGTGAAACATCTAACCTTCTGGTATCATGCATCAAAATTTAGCATAAAAATTACCCAAGGAGTTTTAATGATTAGCATACTGTTGGGCTGAATTAGAAACATCACCATTATTATTAAAAGATGTCAGTGATATTTTATGGTTCCTGCTCCCCTACTCCTAATATCACTTTGAGTTTAGTAGTAAACATTTACTGAAAGACATCGGACCTAATAGAGGGAATAAAAAGAGATAGTTTGCCTGTACATCAGGTTCCTCCAAAGGAACTGTTTGTAAAGAACATTTACGTTATTCCACAGAAGTAAACAAGGGCTGAGGGGGAAGCGGTGTATAACCCAACTAGGTCCAAAAGTATTTTAGAAAGACTGAAAACTCATTCATTTATAGTGTTTTTACCGAGCACCTACTGTATGCCAGGCCCACTGCTCTAGGCGCTTGTGATAGAAAAGATTTAGGCAGCAGTGTTTTCTCACAGACACTTTATGTTTTGTTTCTATTTTTATTTTTTTTAGTGTTAGACATATGTTTGATCTTTAATGAATATTTTTGAAGTATAACATAATGGTTTCATGTACATGTTTTGATTGAACCCTTACCTTTTCCTCTTCAGACTGAAATATCATAGAATCCAATTATTACATTTTTCCCATTGCTACATATTCACCCTTTTAAAAATTACTTTATTGTTGTTCAATTACAGTTGTCTGCATTTTCTCCCCACCACTCCACTCCACCCCAGCCAAACTTAGATTCCTGATTAGATGCTAATGATGCGGTCATAAGACACATCTGAAACCTGAGTTTTAAAATTCATACTAAGTAATTCAGCAGAGGATAAGGTTGTACTGGCAACTGGCTCCATGATGCACCAATGAAATGGAAGAAAGGAAAAACAGAGCCCATCTCACTAGGAAATATATTTTGGAGGCAGTGATGTGATGAGTGGACTGTCGCTGTAAATCTAGCACTGTTGCTTTACTGACTGTGTCTCTGAAATACAATCTTCCCCAAATGGACTTTTTTTCTGCTTTGGGAAAAAAACCCAGCTAAACTGAAATGTATGCCTATAAAGTTCTAGAAATATTTTGTATGCACTTAGCTAGAAGGTCCCATGATCTGCATAACCAAATGGGCACTACTTCCTTTAGGTTAGGATACTGTGGCTATGTACACAGTAACAGGAACCTGAATTGATCCACTACCTGTGTGTAAAAGGCATGGTTACAACATGCCAAAATAGGAGATGGTTCCTTTCACCAGGAAAATTATCACTGGGGTCATTTTATATTATACGTATACAGTGCAGGATTTAAGACTGAAAAATATTTATTAAAGCACATTTCTCTTTTTTGATATCTTCTTATTAATGTTCAAATGTCATTTTCCCACCACCACTTTCCCCCACCCTACCCCCACCTCCCACCCTCAATCCTAACACCCTCTGGCTTTGTCCATGGTATATTTCTTAAGTAGACAGCATCCTCATGGATTACATCAGTGAATGTCTGGCAGTGTCTAGAGACCTGTTTGGTTGTCACTAACTGGGAGAGGGTGCTGCTGACATCTAGTGGGTAGGTTGAAATATCCTATAATGCACAGGACACCCCCACAACAAAGAATTATCAGGTCCAAAACATCAATAGTGCTGAGGTTGAGAAATCCCAGATTGGATTTATGGGTCATCATGAACACAGAGGTACATCTTAATAACTTTTATTCTTTTTCCTCTGAAATATTTTCCTAAATGATTTTCAATCATATTTTCAGAGCTCCTGGAGGTACATTTTTTTAAGAGGTAGGGGTGCTGCTGATGTGTTCGCTGGACTTTTTTGGAAAAAGCAGATTCTAATACTAGGAAAATTATCTTCCTGCACAGTAAGCCCATGCCCCTCTTGAATTTATAAAGCAAGTGGGTGTGCAAAAGCTGAAGGTATTTATCAATGGAAGATTACTTTTATTAGCTCATGGGCATTTTCTGTCAAATTCACCAGAACTGAACTGAGTCGCTACTTGCTCATCAGCAGTATTTGAGAGTGACTCAAAAGAATGTGATTGCAAAATGACATACCCCTCTCAACGTAAAGGTGCCCTTGACATAAGATTTAAGGATGCCAAAGACACCATAATAGCTTCAATTTTATACTTGCCACACATGATAGGGGAATGAAACCATCCCTTTATGCCAATTTCTGATTCTGATAAGATGTCTCTTGTGTTCTCTAGAACAAACTCTAGCTTAAGGGAATAGACTGTTGCAGCTTCTCTGAATAGAATTTAGAAGTGCCTCAAACTCCCTCAGTACCCAACAACAATGGATTTTTCTTTTTTTATGTGTACTTACTCAGCTACTCTAAGTGTAAGCTGGAATTTCTGACAGCTTACACTTGACCAGCTTGGCTGGTCTGTAATCAAGTCATTTTTGTTCTTTCAAACATCACAACTGTATGGGTCCTCCTAGAATCTGGTTTGGGGCATTTCTGAGAAAAGAGGAAAGAAGGAGGGATTCCAACCAAGGATACCAGCAGCTTAGCTTCCTGGGGACTGATGGGTTCTGTCCTCATTTTAAAAGGGGAACTATTGGTTACCAAGACATGGCTTCTGAATTCCTCACATTCCCTGAAATGGCTCTGGAAAAATCAGCAGGAGATGCAGCTGGAATGGGATACATACTATGAGAAAACCGCACATTAGAGAGTAATGACATCATCCTGTTGGGGTCACTGCTAGGTTTCAAACCACCAGGGGGGCTCCAGTGACTCATCACCAGGTCAGGGTCTACTGAAGAACAACACATTGGAATAGAAGCCTAAGCAGCCCAAGATAAATTAAAAGTACTAGTTGGTGGGTTTCTCAGACTCCTGAAAGCTACAATTCACTCAAAAGGCTACCTGCTGTACAGGCTTAATTTCAGATCCATGTCACTCACCTAGCAATACTTCCTTTATCTGCTTCAAGGATATACTGGGAACAGAGGACAGATGCAAAAGACAAAAAAGAAAAAACAACAAAAATAGCCACACAAATCCAAAACCTTATTTTTCTAAAAATTCCAGTCATTTGAAATCTCTGTCCTGCCTTCCAGCCCAAGTAATTATCTATTTTTAAACTCTATGAAAGTATTGTTTCCTCAAATGCTTTTGATTCCTTAAAACTCAGTGAAAAAAAAAGTTGCATTACAGGCTCTTAAAAAGAGGTGGGTGCTATAGGGTTATGCATTTTAACTACGTTTCCCTTATAATTAAAAGATAAAAACAATTTATTTGAAGTAGCATAATGATGCATTAATTCAACATGATATTTCACAAGCTGCTCTAAATATGTGACACTTAAAATGCATTGCTTCTAAGGAATGTTCTGTATTTTCTTAGTTCACATGGATATTTAAGTATCTTTCATTTTATGCAAATGTTTATTAATATGTTTATATTTATGTTTGGATTTTAATTCTGGCATTTTCTTACTCCAATATGTTATTTTTACTGCATAATTTGTTTATGTAAATTAGAGTTTACATCAGTCTTAATGAGGCACATAAGATGAGATAGGGGAGGGAATTTCAGGGGAAAAAGGGGGAGGATTTATAGGTACTAGTATAAAGGACACATGGACAACAACTAAGGGGGGTGGAAAGGGGAGGGAGGGGGCATGGAGGGGTAGGCTGGGATGGGAGTAAAAGACAGAATACTGTAGTTGAAAAATAATTTTAAAAATTAATTAATTAATTAAAAAAGAGAAAGATTAATTCCAAGAAACTACTTTCTAAAAACCTTGCCAGGAATAACTGACACACAACTGGAGTCTTACTTCCTTTTGCTAAACTCATCTGTCCCACTTTTCTTCTTTCTTAAGTGCCCAGATATGCTATGTCTAGGACTCTCTCTCCCTCCTCTGTCATGTTCATAAACTCTCAGTGTTATTCCCAGTTTAAATGCCAGAGCACCCAACCAGATATTTTTGTAGACTTATTGTCATCTGTTATAGAAGGGTTTCACCCATATACAAATACATGACGTTAAGGAAGTCCACTGGCTCAGATTAGCCAGATTTCCATAACGCAGCTCTGCAGATAGGTATGGGCTCTTCATTTTCTAGAGGAAGAAATGTGAGTGTCTTTTTTTGGCACAGAAAGGGCTTGTGCTGGGTGGGGAGGCACAGGGTCACTAATGGTTGACACCTACATACCATGTTGATATAATATGAATTCAAGTTAAAAGTAGCACAATTTACAATAGCCCATCAGTAAATGAATGGATACAAAAACTATGGTACATTTACACAATGAAATTCTATGCAGCAGAAGGAAAGAAAGAGTTCCTATCCTTTGTAATAGCATGGATAGTACTGGAAAGCATTATGCTGAGTGAAATAAGCCAGGCAGTGAAAGACAAATATCATATGATCTCACCTTTAACAGGAACCTAAACAACAAAACAAACAAGCCAGCAAAATATAACCAAAGACACTGAAATAGAGAACAGGCTGACAGTGACCAGAGGGGAGAAGGAAGGGAATTTCAGGGGAAAAGGGGAAGGGTTTACAGGAACAAGTATAAAGGACACATGGACAAAAACTAAGGGGGATGGAAATGGGAGGGAGGTGGGGAGCACTGGAGGGGTGGGCTGGGATGGGAGTAAAAGACAGAAAACTGTACTTGAACAACAATTAAAATAAATAAATTTTTAAAAATAAAAAATAAAAATACCTTTAAAAAAGTCTATCTTTAAAAGAAGACATTTATTTTCAAAATGTGTTCTACTTAGGGAAAAATGAATTATTGCATTCTCTAGAGGAGACTGAGCTGAAGACAGTATAGAGATGGGACTTAGGTCCTCTCTCCTTCCCCTTTCTCTAATCTACCTCCAGCTCTAGCCCCTCCCCATTCCCCCCACTAGGAGTCCTCTGGTTGACAGACCTTTAGAGGGGCTGTTCTGCAGTTACTATGGCAACAGTACATTCACACCTTCAGTTTGGGGATTCTTGCTTATAGCTCCAACTCAGTAGCCAAAATATAAGCAGTAGCATGTGAGCTTCAGGAGAGTATCTGTTTCAAGACCTCTTTCCAGGGTGAAGAACAGTTGTTTATTAGGGCACAGGATCTTATCTGGAATAAGCAGATACATTTTAAATTGGCAACAAGTCAAGTTAATTTAAAAGTGCACTTTACCTCTAACATCAGCTGTGTGAATTCTTCATTAGTGAGGAAGGAAGGTTTCCAGTCCTGCTGAATATCAGAGATTTCCATTTGTGCTGAGACTTCTGAAAAAACAAATAAACAAACAACAGACACACGTACAGGTAAGTTTTTATATTCAAAGGCACCTAGGCACCGGAATTAACAAATGAAGCACATGTTCTATCGATATAATTCTGTATAAACCTCTGTTCAGTTTAATGAAAGAAACCAATATAAGGAAGTAAGTTACCCTGATTTCCCAGGACTGAGAACTCTGGATGTAATTGGCTTAAAAACACCTCTTAATGTTTTTCACATTAAGCTTTCTGGGAGGAAAGTACCACACCCTCTTCATGGTGTAGTGCCTGCAGCTAGCAGAAGGTACAGTATCCTTGGATTTCTATATGACAAAGCACATCACCAGCAGTTGAAGTTAGCAGATGAAATTATCAAGGCAATAGGAACAAAGATTGGCATGGGGGTGGGGGGGCATTCTTAAACTGCTTTTTTTTTTTTTTTTTGGCAAAGCAAAGCAAAGAACTTTGTTTCAAAATTTTAGAAATATTTTAGGCTTGTGATATATTACCTACAGAGTCTATGCAGAATGTAAGCTTTCCCACTAAGATCAGGAACAAGACAAGGGTGTCTGCTTTTTTAGCATTTCCTAGTACTGAACTACAATATGCTATATAAATATGTGTTAGTTCATTGCTTTTAAAGGCAGGATTTACACTTTTCAAAACTTTGCTGGTTTACTATAGACTGTTTCTGTAACTATCTTGTACTGATGATATGATTCATGTTAGTAAATTCAATGGTCATTGGTCTACACAGGCCTCCTTTAAATACTCTATTTCTGTAGCATTTTTGAAAGTGTTTAGTTTTATTGCTGAAATATCTCTGATAAGATTATTACAGATAACTCAAATGCTATATGAGATATACTTGCTTTTCCCTTGGTTTATCATACATTTTAAATTTTTTCCCATATTTTTTATTGTTGTTCAAGTATAATTGTTTCCATTCCCCACCACCACCACTCCCCACACACCAGCCATCCCCACTTCTGACCCTTGATCCTATCCCTCCTTTGGTTTTGCCCATGTGTCCTTTATACATGTTCTTTAAAACCCTTCCCAATTCCCAACCCCCCCCCCATTATCCCCTCCAACCTCCCCTCTGGTTAATGTCAGTTTGTTCTTTTTTTAAAAAATTTATTTATTTTAATTGCTGTTCAAGTACAGTTTTCTGTCTTTTACTCCCATCCCAGCCCACCCACCAGTGCTCCCCACCTCCCTCCCATTTCCATCCCCCTTAGTTTTTGTCCATGTGTCCTTTATACTTGTTCCTGTAAACCCTTCCCCTTTTCCCCTGAAATTCCCTTCCCTCTCCCCTCTGGTCACTGTCAGCCTGTTCTCTATTTCAGTGTCTTTGGTTATATTTTGCTGGCTTGTTTGTTTTGTTGTTTAGGTTCCTGTTAAAGGTGAGATCATATATTTGTCTTTCACTGCCTGGCTTATTTCACTCAGCATAATGCTTTAATTTCAGTGTCTCTGGATATAATTTGCTTGCTTGTTTGTTTTTTGATTAGATTCTCCTTATAGGTGAGATCATAGGGTAACTGTCTTTCAGCATCTGGGTTATTTCACTTAGCATAATGCTCTCCAGTTCCATCTATGTCAAAAAGGGTAGGAGATCCCTCTTTATTTCTGCTGTATAGTACTCCGTTCTGTAAATGCAGCATAGTTTTTTGATCCATTCATTTACTGATGGGCACTTAGGTTCCTTCCAGTATTTGGCTATTGTACATTGTGCTGCTATGAATTTTGGGGTACATAGGTATTTTTGGTGGTGTATCAGGGTTCTTAGGATATAATCCCAGCAGTAGAACTGCCAGGTCAAAAGGCACTTTAATTTTTCATTTTCTGAGGAATTTCCATACTATTTTTCCACAGTGGCTGCACCAGTCTGCATTCCCAGGAACAGTCTACTAGGGTTCCCATTTCTCTACCACCTTGCCAGCACTTCTTGTTTGCTGACTTTTTTATCATGGCCATTTTCACCAACGTGAAGTAGTACCTCATTGTGGTTTCAATTTGCATTCCTCTGATAGCTAGTGATGCTGAGCATGTCTAGCCATGCTCAGCCATATTTTCATATGTCTCTGGGCCCTCTATATGTCTTCCTTGGAGAACGGCCTGTTCAAGTCATTTGCCCATTTCTTAAATTGGGTTGTTTGTCTTCCTGGAGTGGACTTGTATGAGTTCTTTATATATTTTGGAGATCAGACGCTTGTCTGAGATATCACTGGCAAATATATTTTCCCATATGGTCAGTTCTCTTTTCATTTTGCTAATGTTTCCTTTAACTGCACAAAAGCTTTTTATTTTGATGAAGTCCCCTTGTTTATTCTTTCCTTTATGCCCCTCGCTCTAGAGGACATATCACTGAAAATATTGCTCTGTGGAATATATGAGATTTTCCTGCCTATGCTTCTTTCTAGGACTTTCATGATGTCATGACTTATATTTAAGTCTTTTAACCATCTTGAGTTTATTTTTTGTGTATGGTATAAGTTGGTGGTCAAGTTTCATTTTTTTTTGCTTGTAGCTTTTCAGATATCTCAGCACCATTTGTTGAAGGAGATATTTTTACTCCATTTTATGCTTCTTCCCCCTTTGTCAAATATTAATCGACCATAGAGATTTGAGTTTATTTCTGGCTCTTTAATCTGTTTCATTGATCTATGTAGCTGTTCTTATGCCAGTACCAGAAGGTTTTGATTAGAGTGGCCTTGTAATATAGTTTGATATCAAGTATTTTGATCCCTCCTACTTTGTTCTTTTTTCTCATAACTGCTGCAGCTATGCAGGGTCATCTATGGTTCAATATAAATTTTTGAAATATTTGTTCTATATTTGTGAAATATGTCATTGATAGTTTTAATAGGGATTGCATGAATCTATAAGTTGCTTTGCATAGTATGGACATTTTGATGATGTTAATTCCTCTTATCCATCAATACAATATATGCTTCCATTTATTTGTGTCTTCCTTAATTTCTTTCTTCAGTGTTGTGTAGTTTTCTGAGTACAGGTCTTTTGCCTCCTTGGTTAGGTTTATTCCTAGCTACTTTATTTTTCTTGTTGTTATAGCTAATGGGAGTTTTTTCCTGATTTCTGTTTCTGATATTTCATTATTGGTGTACAAAAATGCCTTTGATTTCTGAATGTTGAGTTTGTATCTCACCATTCTTCCAGATTCACTTAGGAGGTCAAGTCATTTTTTGGTAGAGTCTGCAGGGTTCTCTAGGTGCACTATCATGCCATCTGCAAACAATAACAGTTTTGCTTCTTCCTTTCCAATTTGGTTGCCTTTTATTTCTTTTTCTTGTCTGTGGCTAGGACTTCCATTACTATATTGAATAGATGTGGTGAAAGCAGACACCCTTGTGTTGTTCCTCATCTTATTGGGAAAGCTTTTAAGTTTGCCTGTTCATTATGATGTTGGCTGTAGGTTTCTCATATATAGCCTTTATTATATTTAGGTTTGCTCTCTCTACTCTCACTTTGCTGAGTGTTTTTATCATTCATGAGTGTTGTGCCTTATCAAATGTTTTTTCTGCATCTAGTGATATGATCATGCAGTTTTTGTCTTTCCTTTTGTTTATGTGATGTATTACATTTATTGATTTGCAAATATGTACCATCCTTGCATCCCTAGAATGAACCCCACTTAATCATGGAATATAATCTTTTTTAATATATTGTGGAATGTGGTTTTCTAATATTCGTTGAGGGTTTTAGTGTCTATGTTCATCAACGATATTGGCGTGTAGTTTTTTTTGTTGTTGTATCTATGAAGAATAGGGGTTACTCCTCCTTGAATATTTTGTAAAATTCTCCTGTGAAACTGCCCAGTCCAGGTCTATTGTGTGCCAAGAGTTTATTTTACTGCTTTGATTTTGTCATTTGTTATTAGTCTCCTTAGGTTTTCTGCTTCTTCATTCAGTTTGGGAAGATTATATATTTTTTTTAATTAAATTTTATTTAGTTACTTTTCAAGTACATTTTTTTAATCTATTTCTCCCATCCCACCCCCACCGCCTAGTCTCCCCCTCCCTCCCATTCCCCCCCCCCAGTCCTCATCCCCGTGTCTTTCAAACTTGTTCCTCAAAATCCCTCCCCCTTATTCCTTTTAAATTCCCTTCCCTCTCCCCTCTGGTCACTGCCCACTTGTTCTCTATTTCAGTGTCTTTGTTTTTATTCTGTTTGCTTGTTTGTTTTATTCTTTAGCTTCCTGTCAAAGGTGAGATCATATGGTATTTGTCATTCAATGCCTGGCCTATTTCACTCAGCATAATGCTTTCCAGTTCCATCCATGTTGTTGCAAAAGCTAGTACCTCCTTCTTTCTCTCTGCTGCATAGAATTCCATTGTGTATATGTACCAAAATTTTTGATCCATTCATTTACTGATGGGCACCTAGGTTGCTTCCAACTCTTGGCTATTGTAAATTGTGCTGCTATGAACATTGTGGTGCATAGGTTCTTTGAAATTGATGTTTTAGGATTCTTGGGGTATAATCCTAGCAGTGGAATTTCTGGGTCAAAAGGCAGGTCAATTTTTATTTTTCTGAGAAAATTCCACACTGTTTTCCATAATGGTTGTACCAGTCTGCAATCCCACCAACAGTGAACTAAGGTCCCCTTTTCCCCACACCCTCTCCAACATTTGTTGTTTGTTGCTTTGTCTATTATAGCCATCCTGACTGGTGTAAAGTGGTATCTCATTGTGGTTTTAATTTGCATCTCTCTGATAGCTAACGATATTGAGCATCTCTTCATGTGTCTCTGGATATTCTGTATGTCCTCTTTAGAGAAGTGTCTGTTCAAGTCCTTTTCCCATTTTTTAATTGGGTTCGATGTCTTCCTAGAGTGGAGTCGTGTAAGTTCTTTGTATATTTTGGAGATTAAACCTTTGTCTGAGGTATCATTGGCAAATATGTTTTCCCATACAGTTGGTTGTCTTTTTAATTTAATACTGTTTTCTTTAGCCATGCAGAAGCTTTTAATTTTGATGAGA